AATAAAATGATATCTTAGCTGAATTTGTTTAGTCCTGACATGAAAAACAACACTCTTAACAAGATAAATCACACTCATAATATCACTGTGAAGAATTTCCAATCCCATGCTCCTTGCCCAATTCTGCCATAAAACTCTATAGTCATATGATCTCCTTGCTAGCCTCAGTGATAGCAATATATTCAACATCCATCGCTGAAAATGCAATGATATTCTACAATCTGGAACGCAACTCACCGTTGTGTTCCCTAAAGTGAAGATGTACCCTGTTATAATTCTCCTATCCACATCTCCTGCCAAATCTGAATATACAAATCCATGTAGACTGATCCTTGCACTTCCATAGAAAAGTGTCTTGTTAACTGTTACCCTCAAGTGCTTGAGAATCCACTTTACCATCTCCCAATGATGTCTATCTGGATCGCCCATATACTACTCAACATTCTCACTGCATATACAATATCTAATCTGGTGCAAATCATTGCGTACATCAAACTTCCAATTGTTGAAGCATGTGGGGTTCTCTCCATTTGTGTTTGTTCTGCTTCAGAGTTAGGTGATATTTCCTTAGATGGTTTGAAGTGACTACCTAATAGGAGTGCCTACCGGTTTTGCCTCACTCATGTTGAATCTTCGTAGAATCTTCTCAACATACACTGTCTGAGGCAACTTCAGTGCTCCTGCACTCATGTTCTGTTGATTCTCATCCTGAGGATTTTTCTGATTGGACCTAAATCATTCAAATCAAACTCAATAATTATTTCTATAAGTCACTGATTTTTTTCATATCTATCACTGCAATCAGCAGGTTGTCCATATATAAAATAAGCAAGATATAATAATTACTAATTTTTTTGACAAAGCGTCAGTGTTCCACCTGGCACTTCGAGCACCCACTGTTTGACATAAACTTGTCAAACCTTCTATACCACTGTATCGGAGTCTGCTTCAAGCTATCGATGCTCTTCCTCAATCTGCAGGCCCGACCTTCCTTGTCTGAAACCTTGTAACCCTATGGTTGCACCATGTCCAGTTCCTCCGTTAGATCTCTAAGTAGGAAAGTTATTTTTATATCCATCGATTGCAAATGTTGATCTTCCTACAATCCTGACAGTTGTCATCATCACCATTGGGGAAAAGATTTATGTATAATACACTCCTTCCTTCTGTTGGAAACCCTTCATAACAAGTCTTGTCATGTAGCTTTTGCTACCATCTAACGTCTCTTTCAGCATGTAAATCCGCTTGTTGTGTAGTGCTCTTTTACCATCGAGTAGTACCGTCAAATCCCAAGTCTGATTTGACTCTCTAAGAACAAGATTTCTTCATCCATGATATGCTCCCACTCACTTGAATCTTTAACTTGAGTGGTCTTCTTAAAGCAACCTGGTTCACCATTATCAGTTAATAACAAATAGTATAAAGAAGAAGAATACATGTGTACAAGTCGTATTATTCTACTAGATCTCTTGACTTCAATAATAGGTGATTGGGGAACTTCCAGTGCTTCTTCTAGTTAAGTGTTATTTCTTTCTCCACCATTCTGATCACTAGTGTCTTCTATCTCAACATACTTGAACCCTTCAGAAATAGTTGACAGGTTGTCTTGAGTTCAAATATTGTCCTTGTACATGTTCATTTCATTGAAAGTGACATCTGTACTCCTGATGAATTTTTTATTTTGATAATCCCAGAGCTAGTACCCAAACTCATCTGAGTCATATACAATGAAGGTGCACTTGACAGATTTCGAGTCAGGCTTGCTACTGGAACACGCATCAACATTCACATATACACAACACTCAAATACTATTAAATGAGAAGATTTATCTTTTTGTCACTCTGAGTTTCTTCAAGTAAGCATTCCCCCAAAGGTACTGATAGACTACGGTTAATCAGATAAATTATAATGCTTACTGCTTCAACTAAAAATTGTTTTGGCAAGCTTACATGCAGCCTCATGCTCCTAGCACGCCCCGTGATTGTTTTGTTAATGCGCTCAACCACACCATTTTATTGTGGTCTCCTTGCGACAGTGAACTCATGTCTGACCCCTCTGTAGCACAAAAATTCCTGAACTTTTGATCACGATACTTGTTATCACTATCCAATCGGAGAGACTTCAACTCCAAGTCTGTCTCATTTTCTACTATAAGTTTCCACTTCTTATAGATTTAAAATACATCAGATTTTTGCTTTAATATGTAAACTCATACCTTTCTCGCATGACAGTTAATAAATGTGACAAAATAGCATGAACCTCCAATGGATTAAAAAAGAATAGGACCCCATATGTCAGTATGCGTAACTCTATTTTCATTGACTTCACCACTGACCCGCTTTTAGAGAAAGAAACTTTCTTCTGATTGTCATATATACAGTCTTCACATAAATCCTGATCAACTAATTTTAAATCCTAAATGTTATTTTTAGAAAGTAGGGACTTCATAACTTTCTCACTTATATGGTCAAGTTTACGGTGACATAGACTTGCATCCAACCTGGTTCCAACCACATCTAAGAAATCAATCATTTCATTGATCAGGTAAAGAGTGCCTTCATTGTTGCCTCGAGTCATCACCAATGCCCTCTGGGCACCTTCCATGAAATACCTGTGAAAGTAGTCACAAGTCCTAATTTTGCCAGCTGACTCACAGAAATAAGATTTCTCTTCAAACTTTAAATATTTCTAACTTCAATAAGCTTCTATATTGTTTCACTTGGCAACATAATATCAACATCTCCCTTTCACATAATATTGTAGGTCTTGTCTCTCAGATTAATTTTTCCTAGATTAATCTGCATATAGTTTTTAAATACCTCTTTATTGGGGCATGCATTAAAAGAGGCTCATGAATCTACTATCCAATATTTAGTGTTAACTAGGAATAACATCAGAGGGTCATTTTGATTTTACCAGTGGAGATATTTGCAGAGAGATTCATTTCCAGTCATCGACCAACAGCTTTTCCTGGAGCTTTGCAATCTTTATTAAAAATGTTATTTTCTCCGCACTTATAGCATTCTCCTATGTCATTTCCTCTCCTAGACTTGGATCTGTCTTTGTCAGTTTTACTATCCAAAACATTTCATTTATTATCAACATTCAACACAAAACCTGAAGATTCATCATTTGTTTTTTTTTGTGAATTTCTTCATTTAGCATCAAACCCACAATGTCATCGAAGTTCAACTTTGTATTGCCTTAAGAATTACTTACTGTCATGACAAAACCATCCCAACTATCCAACAATAAAAATAGTATCACCGATGCTCTGACCTCATCATCAAAATTGATCTCCATATAACACAACTATTTCGTTGTAATGTTGAAATTATTCAGATGTTCTGTCATTAAACTGTCTTCTACCATCTTTATGTTGAATAGTCACTTCATCAGAAAATCCATACTTGAAGCAGAAGGTTTTTCGAACATCTTGTTCAGTGTTATTATAAGACCTACCGTGGTTTTCTCATTTACAATATTGAACGCAACTGATGAGGAAAGTGACAACTAGATCAAACCTAGTGTCTTCAATCCACCACTTCTCATTCCTTCATAGCCATTGATTAAGGCTTCTTGGTGATTCACTTTAGTGGCAAATAAAACTTTTCAAATACAAAAAATCCACCACTTGCATCCTCCAGAATGTGAAATTCGTCCTATTGAACTTCTCTACTTTGAAACTTGCTTCGTCAGGCATTGCTCTCACTTAAAACAAACACCGCTCTGATACCACTTTGTTGTTGGGAATGAAACAATCCCCTTCAACTTTACTAGGGCGTAAATTCAATTAAAAACTAAACCATACTACTGAATAGAATCGCACAGATTCGAGAAACCAGAGTAAAAATTCAAACGGAAGCGCAACAAAGAATCCAGAAAAGCACTTAAGAAATTAACGTGAAAAAATCCGAGAACGAAGAAAAACCATGGAGCCATACAAACAAGAAATTTCACTTTGAAACAAAAAAATTTTCATAGATCTCACTCAGATTTCATCTCTACAATTGAAGAAACTTACAGCGCTTCGCTCTAAATCCTTCCTCTCGATCCGATAAGAGAAACACACGAAATTATCTTCTCCAACACTTCTCTCCTTCACCAGAAACTTGTTGAAAAACTCACACATAGGAACTGCGACGATTCGTCGCTTGAAATTAGCTCTTAAGTCGAACACGGGAAGAAACCCCATCTGGCACAGGAGCGCCCAGAATTGGGTGTTGAAGGGCCAATCTCTAGAGAAAGAGGGCCTAGAGTGCTCCGAGAGGTGGGCTCAAGAGCGCCCAACCAGCTCTTGTCGGCACAGAAGGGCCCAACCTGCTCCTGAAGGCGCAGGAGCACCCGAAACATGGCACTTAAGCATCTGGCATTGGAGTTTATCTGTGCGGTGCTCCAAATCAGGCTCCACACACTAACATAGCCTAAGTGCTAACATACCATTATAAAAAACATGCAGGAGCAACTCAAACATTTCTCAACACAGGTAAGGGAGCAGCGACCATGAAAGCCAAAACTGAGACATAAAATTAAAGTCATGTTTTTTTTTTTTTTTTCTTCTCTCTCTCTCTTTTTTTTGGGCTACATTTCAAGGTAGAGTTTAACTAATACTTCTGTGCTGTTAAGTCATTTTCAGAGTTGTATCGGGTGCTGATTTCAATTTAGATGGTCTATCCTACCAACTTCTAACCTTGCAGGATACATTCAAGTAACTTTCGAATCATTAATAGATTTCCTTATTACTTCTTTTTTGCTTGTTTATTGGAGATGCTAATTGAAAAAAAAATACAAGATTAAAGACTATATTTCTCCAGAACTTCTCAACCCTCAAGAGATCACAAATTGCAAAAGAAACCCACAAACCCATAAACCGACTAAGTGAGCGACAGAGTGTAATTTATATTCCCAATATGAAAACCAAAACAAATTAGAAATCACGAGAAATGTTTAGCTGACTTGTAGCACGCTAATTCAGAATAAGCTAGAAAGCATCTCCTACCTTTTAATCCAAATAGCAATTTCCCTTCCCGAAGGCCAACATTATCCTTTACAGCCTTGATCAAGTTTTGCATTCCAGTAAACTCTACCATTTCAGGTGAATCGCCTTTTATCTACTCATAAATGAAATTGCATGATTTGTTAGATAATATTAATTGTAATTGCATGAAGATTACTAAGCCCATGTTATCAACAGTGTTTGATTTAAGATAAAATTTATTGACTCCAACACTGATAATAAAGAACTCCCGTACCTCAGGTTCAAAAAATTTGATTCCCTGCATCATAGTAAAAAAGTAATTATTCCATAATATCTATGTTTCACAGAAATCTTAGCTGAGAACAACCTACTTGGCTGTACTTAGCCCTATCAGGAGTATCACCCTCCTTAGGACCCACGATAACGGACACAGTGTTGATTACTTTTTGAACTCCTTTGAAGTACTCAGGAGACAGTGTATTCGCTTTGGTAACATCTCCAACAACCTGAAATTACAAATTAGAATTTAGCCTGAGAACTTGTATGATGAACTGGATTGTAATTACAGTACTATCGTTAAGTTGATTCTTTTCATATAAGAACGAGAGCCGAAAACCTGGGAAATAACAAATTTACTCTTAAATAGCAAGATTTTGCAACAGACAAACTAGGGGCGTAGCTATGTCAAAGTGCTCATGAGCAAGGTCAGGCATAACCCCATAAATGGCTTTGAAACTAGCTCAATGAACTAAAGAGCCAAGTTTGAACAAACCTCCAATCAATTCGCTAGCTCATGACGACTCCATTAAATTTTGTTAATATAAATTACCCTAAAAAATACATTAGAATTCAAAGGTTTAACTATAAAATTATTTAAAATATTTACAAAATTTCTTTTTTTATGCCAACTAATTTCTTATTACTTCTCTAATTTGTAATTTTTTTCATCATTCTTCTTTTATGATAAAAGAACTGGCTCAAATTCATAGAATCTAGCTCAAACCAAATTCATAATCAAACTCAAGCTCAAACTCAAGTCAAAATTGGATCGAGCTTGGCTTGGCTTGTTCATACTGAGCTCAAACCCAATTAACAAATCAAGCTCAAGCTCAAACTCAACTCAAAATTAGATCGAGCTTGGCTGGATTCGTTTATATCCCTAGACAAACAATATTCAAGATTCGCGAACAATCTTCCAGTTCCAATGTAAAAAAAAAAATCTCATTTGTCTTTAGCAGTTTTCAGTGCAACCGTAATTTCAACCGCTTGCTTGTCATAAATGCCTTAAATGGTGGCACATGTGAACTGGTAAATAGAGTTGCTTCTATGTAGCACACAGCTCACCAGGTCCAAATCTTGCCCTAGCATGCTTCTTCCTTTTTCCTCATTTCTGACCTGCAATAAAATAAGATCAAAACTTCAACTAGAACAATGTAAGACGACCCGAGAGATTTCACCTATTTACAAAAAAATAGGGTACCAGAACACGGAAGGGAATGCCTTTCTTCTGTAAAATGTTGACTACTCTTCGCCCAACACCACCAGTTGCTCCAGTTACCAAGATCAATCCTGAAGTTTTCATTTCCTTTGATGATTCCGGAGATGTTGCAGTTGATAGTTTTTCAATCAAAGATGCAACAAACTTCAAAAAGAAATGTCCAGCATTATGTCTAGAGTAAAAATGTTCAGAATTCAAGAGTATTGCAAAATCAATGCTTTGAGCTTAAGAAGCTCCATAGTCCCAAAAATTAAGAAAGAATTAATCAAGTTCATATAAGGTAGTCGGGGAAACCTTAAAAGGATTTGGAGGTCCATTGAAGAAGTATAATGTTTTCAAAAATCTGCTAACATCCCAAGATTGTCGACCAGACTCTGCAAAAACAGTGAACTTGGAAGATCTTGAAGATACAAAAGATAACGGCCTACCCTTATACTCCCTGCCTAGTTCGTGGGTATTTTGACTAAAATGCTTTGAATGAAAAGACGGCACTTTGGTTTGTAAAATATCAGCAGCTCTACAACTGTATAATGAAAATTTCCCCTGCAACAAAGCTTTAGACGAATAAACTTTCCCAGATGAAGCTACTTAAAATGATATTTGAAATAAAAAAATCATAAACCACAAGCATTGAAGCCTGAATGCAGGTGCATAGTTAAAGAAAATGTGTGCTTCGCATTTCACTAAAAAAGTAAAATAGGAAAAAACAGAAGTTTAATGTATTTACATATCTAACACGTAAACTTCAAATTTTACCTATATGTCAGCTTATCTGTGCATGAAAAGCTGTATTTCATTTTTTCTTAATTAAAATAGTAGTATTTTTTATGTGATATAAAATATTTGGGTGATACATGTGTAAAAAGTAAAGTTTAGGGGCTAGACATGTAAATACATATGAATTGGGTGGGATGTATGTGAATGCCCCTAACTTATAATATGGAAATGATGTTTTATGAGCCCGAGCACAAAAGACAAAAACTAACTAAAAAGTGACTAAGATTGTTGAGAAGTTGTACTGATTAGAAATTTTCAGAAATACCTATGTTTAATTACAATAAATTTATCATTTAGAAGGTAATAAATTATGAGAAATAAAAAGTTAGCATGATTTAGATGTTAAAAAAACTTCATTCTCATCATTAAATTTTGACATCTGAGACAGTTCTTGAGGTGTTTAGCAAAGTCAATGAGGAATCTCGTTTGAATTATCAATTTTGTTTATCATGCTTTTAATAGATTCTACAAAAGATCATATAGGATTAAGTATCATCATTATCATACCTAACGTTATTCCAACTTTATGGGGACAGCTTCGTGAATTCTTATTCTTTAGTGACTTATGATGAGTGTTGCATGTGGTACTAGCAATTAGCCTTTTCTTTTTCCTCCATGCAACTTATTAGTTTAGGGTTCTAATTGTAAAAAATCTATCAAACTACTTTATTAGTGTGCCTTAACCAATTTATTGGTATGCTAAAGTTCTTAAAAAATCAACAAGCCCAAACCACCAAAGATAATTTACTAAAAGCTTTTGCATTGCCATTAGACCTCATTTGTAGGACAAAAAGCATAAGGAAATGTTGGCAAATATTTGTAGATCTTTACCACACCAGATGTCGCAAAATATAATCAGGTAGCTATCAATAGGTACCACTTTACAGTTCATTGATACGAATCGGGACCAAAATCAGCAAATAACATACGAGGATTAGGTGGGAAGAAATCCATGAGGGCTAATTGATTAATATCAAAACAAAATAAGCAAAATACAAGAGTGATCTACTATTTGAGAGGTAGACCATTTCTCCACAAATTCTAGACGCCACTAGGAACAAGATAACAAAAGAAGGCTGTATAAAATCAAATATTAAAAACCCAAACCGCTAATAAACTCATCCAAAGATACATTCAAATTTTACCCCCAAAACCTCCCTTAATTCCTTCTCCTCATGTATGTGATTAGCACATTGGTGGATAACCCGACCTGCAATTACATGTATTTTAAATTTCCAAAAGATTGCCAAAAAATTTGTCTCAATTTATATTAGCGGCTAGTGTGAATAAATGTAATAATTTAAAAAATAAATTTTGACACTAGGGGTACTACGCAAGTATACGCATCGCTTCAAGTAATATAAGATTTTTCTTAAAACCCCCCGTATCGATCCCACGGGAAAAGCTGTAACTCTTTAAATAGACTTGCAAAATTTCTACCAAAATTGCAGATAAAATAATAGTAGAACAATGTCGATATGTTTTCAAAGATTATTATAAATTTAAGCAAAAAGTAACAACTAAGTTTAAGAGTCTAATAACGTAAATCTAATGAGTTCGTATATTATGAAAAGATCTTTTCTCTTGCAAAGAGATATTAATTTGTGTAGGATTTAAATGACTAAAAATAAGGTGATTTATTGTGACAAATAGAACATTTCTATTTTTTACCCCCTCTCTGTGCTAGCAAAGAACATTAGCTAATTTAGAGTTTTTTACCAGCTTGTGTGGTAGTGCCGTCTAGATTATAGTTTTTCACTTCCAGATTACTCGTTGTGCACTCTCTATAGAACATACTAGGGGCCCTTACAATTCAAACTCTAAATCGAATTGATAAAAAGATCTAGTCTGTCACCCTAGAAATATCAATTCTACATCCATCAAAATTTATCTTCCTATCAATTTGCACTCCCCTTAAGGTGATCGCAGCGACACTGCCCAGAATGAAGTGCGACTCTCACTAGTTTGGTTAAATCATAGCCCTCCCGGGTCATTACGTTTCTCAACGTATTTTAACCTCACAAATGATCAATTAGTGAAGTAAATAAAGAATCGGTGAAAATGTCATCATAATTTTTTTATGTAAAAATAAATCTTTAAATCATTATCATCCCACAGTATTGATTCTCATATGCAAGGAGAAAAAAATGAAACTACTCAGAATTTATGGAGATTAAACAAAAACACATTATTTGTATTGAAATTCAAGTCATAGACACAAAACTTAAACACAAATATAAAGTACCTTATGTCTTCTCTTCCACAAATTCTGGAGCCTCCTTCACGATATCTCCAAACTCTGACTCTTACAAACACAAAATGCACTTACACTCACACTTAAACACAAAAGTAAAACTTCCTAAGCCTTCTAATGCTGACAATAAGTCCTCTTCATTCAATTTTCGACCATATTAATAGATCTCTGAAAATAACCGAGAGTTGCTTCAAGCACCTCTTCAAAATTCGGTCAAATTTAATATATTTTCTAAAAAGGTGGTTACCGACGCTATAGCGCCAATCTGGGCACTATAGCTCCCAATACGCCCGTCAGATGGTGTTATAGCGCCAGGGGTGGCTATATAGCGCAATACAAAGTAACTCATTTTTACTATATTTTTCCCTCATTTTCTCTAAATGTCAATTTCATATATCTGAAATCAAAAACATATAAAATATATTCTTTTAAAGTGCAATATCACTAAAAATATGCATATATCACTAAAAATATGTTTAAAGTGCAATATCACTAAAAATATGCATAAAATGATCATAAAACATGCACTAAAAATAGATAATTTTTAAGTGGATCAGTGGGTCCCATATGGGGACTGAAATCCTCCCAAGTGAAATCAGGATATTATCCTGCTGACCCCAACGACTATATCTCGGATGGCGTGGGCCAATAAGCTATGTCCAAACTGGCCCCTCCTAGATTGGCAGCGTAACAATACTCCCCTCTTAAAGAAGTATCTTGTACTCACGGTAGAATGACAGAAATCGCATCTGTATCATTTCATAAGGCTCCCACATTGCTCCATAACCTGTTAGATTTTTCCATTTATTCAACACCTCCTTTGCCCAGATTATTTATTGGCGCACCCCTGTCTTCCTCCAAAAGTTTCAAAATCACCTTCATGTCCTTTATTAGTGTCGGAGGTAGTGAAGATGAGGGTCTGTGAACACCAATAGCATGCCTTAGCTGGGATATATGAAATATTGGATACAATAATGATGATAATGATAGTAATCTTGAGCGTTATATCATTGCCCCAATGCACGCCACAATCTCATGGTAATGCGGGGACAGCTTCTCACTTCTCCTGGCCAATGTATTATGTTGATAAGGTCTCAGCTTCAAATAAATCATGCCCACTAGCTCAAATTGTATTTCCTTTCTAAGTCCATCAGTCTTCCTCTTCATGACTTGTTGGGGCGGTAGATTACCCTTGAGCTCTGCCAATATTTTGTCCCTCTCTTCCAACTATTGGTCCACATTGAATATTGGTGTAGTGTATTGTGTGAGTTGGGTCTTGCTTATATAAAATCCAGGAAGGAGTAGTTTGAGTTGTAGTGTGGTATAAAGTGTTGTACCAATACTAAGCCCAAGCAATCCACCTTACCCAAAGCTTTGGCATATATAATACAAAACAACGTGTCACAACCCAACCCATGACTTAGAATTAACTAAGTCGAGAATTGTCATTTGATAGTATTAACATTTTATGTCATTTTATATTTTATAAGTTTCTGAAAAATATGTAAAAAGTAAAAAAATAAAATTTAATATCGTCCAACCGCAAATCCCGTCTTAATTAATTATAAGCTCTGAGTCGAGTCGTGACACAACGCATGTATGTCTCCACGCTCCTACCGACCACCTCTGTCCGATCATCTATCTGGAAATGATATGGTATACTCTTTTTTGGGATTATCCCTTGTAATCTGAATAGTTCAAGAAATGTTTGAGGAATACCTCCCAGGTAGAGTCGGGATATTCCGCCCCTTCCTGTTGACCCGGCCTACTGCGTCTGGGGTGGGGTGGGTCGGCCGGCTGTGCCCAGGTTGGTCCCTCCTGGACAGGCAGTGTAACATTCAAATATAACCTCCTCAATGTGCTCCCAAGTAATGACAAAACAAATACGACATCATTAATCAATTCACATCTTTAACTCTTTCAAAATTCATCTGAGGAAAGCAATGTGATGAAGAGTCATCACAACTCCTAGTTTTCAAACTAAGCTCGCCAAGATCATGTTCTTTTGACTCTCTATGTCAAAAATAGTGTTAACCACTTCTTGGTTGATCTGCATTCACAAGTTGAATAGTTCCTCCTGCGCTGTGTAGGCTTAAGCATCAAACTCAAATCTTTCCTCGTCAACATTGCCATAAGACTCCAATATGATTCGTCCATAAACTCGAATGTTTGCTCTGATTCAATTGCAACAATCACCTCTTCTCCTCAACAATTCTTGAATTTCTCTAGGAAAAGTTATTGGTGAAGTTTCCAGCATTTTCCTCTATATTGTCCCAAGATCTGGCAATGACAAAAATAGAGGTTACTTCCAGAAGAGCTTTATAGTGCCGTACCTTATATGGTTAGGAAAAATAATTGCTAATATTGTTTTATATCTTATTATTAGTATCGGTTAGCTGTCTGTAACTAACCAAGCAATTTTAGTTTTTATAAAGTTAAAGTTCAGCTATTAATTTTTTACCTTTTTATTGTGTTGCCTTTGTGTGAATTTGGATATGGGTTCCAGAAATTC